ACCCAGCCTTAACAGAGAGTTGTTCCTGAAGTGCTATATAATCAAAGAATACAAAAAACACAATTCAGCAAACCATATGACCAGTTCTGTGACTCCGAGGCTGTCTAGATTATCACCACTCTTTTTTTAAAGGACATCACAATGCAGAACTGCTTTTGAAGTAGAGGAAACAGCGTGGGCTACATTGGGGAATTATATGGGGAGAAGAAATTCTCTTCAGCATGGCCAAGCTGCTTGCATGAGCCTTAAGAAGTTGTTTGGATCCATGTCATAATTAAAATTCTATGAAACAAAAAGAGTCAGTGAAAGATGGGACAGAAAAACAAAATAATGAAGCAAATTTCTTTTAAAAGCTAAGCGGGTTCCTCTCTGCTGTAGCTGTACTGCTTATATTGGAGCTTCTAAAATCTTTTTTGAAAGATTTTCAATTTTTTAAAAATCAAAATTAAGTTAAAATTTATCCATCATCAACATTCATGTAGTACCTATATTAAACCATGCTTCCCACAGCTTAAACAGAATCAATATACATCTGAATTGTGCCTGGGCCAGGACACATAGACCTGATCTAACAAATTGCTTCCCTCATTTCACAGAGTTTTCAATTATTTGCCAGTCAGATATTTTCTAATACAAAAGTAATCTGGTAGAGAATCAGTTTTAAGAGTACTGTGTCTGTGTGTAAATTCTTAGTGGTTGATGAACAGGATTGTGTTTTCTGCAGTAAAAAAAAAAAACCTAGGGATTACAAATACTGTCTGTATTTGGGTCAGAAATATAGCCCAGAGGTATTTGTATGATGGATGCATTAGACTGCATTAGTGACTTAGCTATCATAATAGCACAATACACTGTCATGTGACGGCTGGGGCTTCAATCACTTTATTGTGGATTAGCCCTAAAAAACGCGCAAGCTGACCTAACAACAACAGCAACAAAAGGTGACTATTTACTGTGCTGTTTTTCTTCCTCAAGGTGTCAAACTAACATTTGTGTGGGTATTCGTACTTATTGCAGAGAAAGGAAACATTATAAATCTTGCAATATTTGTGTAGCTTTGTTCTGTTTTAATAGACAAAACATATTATTGTATATGCCTTGGGATTAAAAAAAATACATATATTGTTGGTTTTCCAGCAACAAAAATTTATTATAGTCTGGTTACTGCTATTTGGTTCTCTGTTGAATTTGTGTTTATAAAGTGATTGTTGCAATAGCTACTATGGTTAAGAAGAATAGGTGCCTCTGTCTTAATCCTTTCACCTCATTCTCTTGTGAGTGTATAATCCGTATTATCACAGAAATGGTGCAAAAGATAATAGTTGTGTCTGCTTTACCTATGAGTCCCTGTGAAGATGTGTCTGCGCATTGTGTATGTATGTAAATAGTATACAAAGAGACAGTAAGTGAAATCTATTCTCCTTTTTTTAGGCTTTGTAAAACCAAAGCTTTGGAGCCTTTGATCCTCCCTTTTCTATGACCTCTTCTCAGGTTTTTAAAATTATAAATTCGAGATTACACTTCTGCAATTTTCTTTCCTGGGATGATGAAAGGATTTGAGAATTGTAGTAATAATGCAAAGAATCCTTTTGGAGAATAAATCAGTGGAGATACTTTGAAAGTGGCCTTTTTCCTTCCCTGTCTCTCTCCCCTGCCCCCCATGGTCCCCCAGTAATGCTTTTTATGAAATGTGTAGTGCTTATAAAGAGTTGTGCATGATACCTATCTTGTTTCCAAGCACAGCCGTACATACTTGGCCTGTCTTGCTTCATGGGACCGGGATGCCTGCTCCTCCTTAATGTGTCCTCAGTTCTGTTTGGTGGATTAGCATTTCATCAGGATGGATTAAGATTGAATTGACATTGACGCTCCCTTACCCTCCCCCTTCTCCTCCCCCTGTTGCTAGTGGTTTCTGGCAAGGACGGAGGGGAGGTATGATTGCAAAGAAAACCTGTAACATGGGTAGGAAACATATGTGTGTGCACGCACACATATACAAAATAGCATGCAGTAGCTGTGATCTGGGGAGGAATTAATATTGTGGTGTTTGCATGGGGTGGGTGCAGTAAGTTGCATCAGGCTGAAATGGTGTCACATGGAACAAAAGCTTTAGGGGTTTTATTTAGCCTTTAATCCTCACACACTGTTTGACTGGTTGTCCATGTGAGCAAGCCATCCCAAGCAGGAAGGGATAAACCATCTGGATTAAGTAGAGCAGCCCTTTTCCGTGTCTGAAGCGTACAGAAGAGACCTTTCCATTCTACCGTTTTCAGAGCAAGGCTGAGTTACAGTTAGTTCTTTCTGTATTTTCTCGGCTAAAGTTTCAGAGAATTAATAATTCAGGCAGCACTTTGAAATAGTAAACCACCTGTTGGGCTGAAGCCGCAGAAGGATTCAAATATAGTGCATTTTGTTTTTTTATCTGTGTGTGTTTTTTTTATGCACGTAACTGAAGATTTGACAAAGAGAGCTTGCCTGTCCTTATTTAAGACGAATACCGTAGCGTTCCGATGCCAATTCCAAGCAAACATATTGGCCGCTCTCAAAGCTGGGATGCTTCAGGATGGTATGAAGGCAACTGGGAAAATGAAAATACATTTGAATACCAGCTACCGCCTGGGAGAAGGAATTCTTTAACCTATGGTGGCGAGGGAGCCTGGTATGAGCAGCCAGCCCATAGACCGCATGATATCATCTTGCCGGGAGGTGCTGAAATGAAGCAGGAGCCATATCCATTCCAGGAGCCAGTTTTTAACCAAGGTCCTTTACGGAAAAGTTCTGTTCCTGACTTCACATACTACGATAGACAGCCTGCAATGTCTGCACGAAGTTCCTTGCCGCCTCAGGATTACTACAGCGACCCATCCTTAGCTGCCAGATCACCTAAAGATCCACGCTACTATAGGGACCACATGATTAATAGATCATTACCGAATTATGGCATGCCACAGCCCAGTAACAGGTCGGCTTGGGATCAGATGCAAGTACGGTCGCCTGCCCCGCATGAAGCAAACCGTCTGTACAGAGACCCTGTGTCTAAAATGGTCCCTGAGGCACAGAGGATGCGAAGCAGAGATCCATCTTCTGCAAGGTATGGTGTTGAACCTCCCACGCTAAGATATGGAGCAGAACCTCCAACCTTTCCCAACCGTCAGCTTTATAATGACACAATGGATAGATCTATGGATTCTGCAGCTGGTAGGCAGGTTACTCCAACGTGTTTAGTAGTTGATCCAAATTCAACCGCAGCTCCTGATGGAAGTGTAGTTCTGTCTGCTACCCCTGTAAACCGTGGTTATGGGCCAGTTAGGGAAAATGTCAATACAAAAGGACCTTATGATGGCTATGAAACAGCCACAACTCCTTCCCATGGACAGATGACAACACCTTTTCCAGGACAGGATATTAAAAGGAACGTGGATCCAGAGTTCTTAGCACTTATGCGTTCTGAAGGAGTATCTGAAAGTACACTCAATTCCTTGCTACAGCAAGGGTTTGATTCTCTGAACATGCTGACAGTGATGGAGGATAATGATATAAAATCAGTTGCACCAAATCTAGGGCAGGCAAGAGTCCTTTCTCGAATTGCCCATACTTATAAAACAGAAATGCAGTTGCAGAGGCAGGATAGGAAAAGCACCACCATCCGTCCCAGGCACAGATCTAACAGCTTTAGTCATCGAAGTGAATTGCTCCAGAATGAGTTTGGGATGCACCCTGCCACCAGTCCTATGGCAGATGGGACAGCAATGCACCAACCATCAGCTACTTCTATGCAACCGGTGTCACCGAGAGTAGCAGAATTAACCCGTCGTCCTTCTAGTGCTCCAACACAGCATCTTCTGGAAACTGCATCTTACCCTGCCTCTGGGTTGCCTCGTCAGGTTGGTCCTTTTCTTCCTGGTTCTGGCTATCCTGCTTCTAGCCCATGTAATATGCATATTCGACAAGCATCTGGCTATTCTGCTCCCACTGGAATATCTATGACTGCTCTGCAAACAAACCCACATCCAAGTCCCAAAACAGCGTACTCAACCACATATACAGTACCCATGGAGCTGATGAAGAGGGAAAAGAATCCTCCATTATCTCCAATGCACAGTCCTCACAACAGTCCCCAACTTCTTCGAAAGCAAGGGGGGCAGATAGAACCCAGCCTGGTGCAAGCAGGACCGAGTTTTCCAGTGCAGCACTCACCATACCAGAAACCCACAAGACGTACAGGGCCACCAGTCATTGTCTCCACCATGGCATCACCCGAGCCAAGTAATCATTTTCTAATACATTTATAGAATTCTTTATTATTGTTGTGTTCATGTTTTTTTTAAAGTGTTCTAATAACCTTAGAAATGAACTATTAAATAGATAGTCTCATGCATCAGTATGAGGTGACATTAATCTACTTTATATGCAATAAATCACTCTTGTGCTGGGATTCTCGGTGCATTTTAATTGGGATTTTTTAAAAGTCTTGTTGACAGAAAAAAAATGCAGATATGCTAAATCATCATTCAGCAATGGATGATATTTCTGTTATTTTCAAAGTACATAAGATAAGGTACTAGACTTTCTAGACAATTAAGCTGAAGGTTTCCATCTTTAGACTCTTCACTCAATTTTTATCAACACGTATGTATTTTGCTGAGAAAATGGTTAGTGCTTCCTCAGTTAAATTTGTTAAATCACTAATGATGTGCCAGACCCGAGTAGCAATTGTTACTTCATTTGGGTAGTTTTCTTCCTGTTTTTAAATAGGGTGTCAAATAAAATAGTATGCTGTTGATTTTTTTGTTAGATATACTTACAAAGGTAGAGACAGTGAACAAAATAAATCTGTCTTTACTGCTAAAGCCAGTGATTAACCACTAGAGTGATAAATGTGCTTAGGGTTGTGATAAATGTGTGGGATTGCTTTCCCTGAAATTCCTTTCCTACTTCTTGCTTTTACTCTGAATATGTAAGTTAAGTGAACTAAATTAAGCAAAAAAGAACCTTGAAGGGTTCTGAAATTGTGTGTGTGTGTGGGGGGTCTTTCTAAATACATATTTTGACTAGCTGCATTGTAGCACTATTCAGTGGCAGGTATTTGTGCCTAACACTGCAGTTGGTATTATGGGCGCCTACTTGGAAATAAATGCTGCTGAATTTAGTGGTCTTGTTTATAGTTCTATAATCTTGTCATTGAGTTGCATATCCCATTGAAAACTATAGACATCCCCCCCCAAAGGTGTAACAGAATACCCTACCCAGCCACCATGAATTTCATTTAAGTTCCATTGATTTAAGTAGAAAAAATGAGCATATGTTTAACTCCCTTCTATTAGAGGCAAACTGATTTCAAAAATGCTTATTCTGAACTGGCTTGTTCCCCAGAGTATAATATAATAAGCATAAAAAAAGATCTGATCTGTGATTCTGTTATTTTAAAGAGGAAATTCATATAAGCTTTAAATTCAAAACTCCTTGCTTTTTCATCTGATGGCCTGCATGTATATAGGATTTATAGCCCAAAACATCTGAAGGCCACCAGTTTAGGAAATAATATCTTATTTAGATCAGAGCTTTGTGTATATGGCTGCATTTGGACTTATTTTAGTGCTGACTTAAGTCTGTTGATTCACTAAAAGGTAAAGGTTCCCCTTGACATTTAGTCCAGTCGTGTCCAACTCTAGGGTGCGGTGCTCATCCCCATTTCCAAGCCATAGAGCTAGCGTTTGTCCGAAGATAGTTTCAGTGGTCACGTGGCTAGCGCGACTAGACACGGAACGCCGTTACCTTCCCACCATAGTGGTATCTATTTATCTACTTGCATTTTTACATGGTTTCAAAATGCTAGGTTGGCAGGAGCTGAGACAAATGACGGGAGTTCACTCTGTGGCATGGATTCGATCTTACAACTGCTGGTCTTCTGACCTTGCAGCACAGAGGCTTCTGCGGTTTAACCCGCAGCGCCACCACATCCCTGTTGATTCAGTAGGTCTAATATAGTTGACACTAACAGTTGGACATAGGCCAGTGTGGCTTCTTTAAAAATAAATTGTTTTGAAAAATAAGGGAAACTCCGTAGGATGTGGGCTGTCATAATGAATATAAAATGCTTATATGCTAAAACACAATTCTGTTATTTTAGTAATTTTGGAAGAAGAGAAAGTATGTAATGAGTGTGCTTGAGGTGGGGCATCTGGTTTTAACTGAGATAGTTTCTGAGGGATATTCAGATGGAATGATTTCAGTATAGTTTTGTATACAAATGAAGAATTGTTCTTTTCCGTACAGTAAAATGGTTTTTGAAAAGCCGATATTAGGTTGCAGCTAGAAGCCATTGTTTCTTTAATTCCATTAATGTTACTTCACTAGCAGTAGTAATACAGCTTTTTAAAAAGTGACAGTGTGATCAAATTGCACCTAGTAGAGTCTAGATCCTTCTAGTTGCTTTTGAACACAACAATTTTCATTCTGGTTGTTAGGCCAAAGGCGGGTTTCCATACCAAACAAGGGACAAATGATTTGGGAACGCAAATTCTTTGCCCTGAAAACAAACGTCTCAGAATACAGATAAGACACTTTTTACTTCTGAAACACTTTAGAATATCTGAGTATCTTTGACTTTTATTCTTTGGTCGCTCATCTTTAAATGTATATCCCAGGAAGTGGTGTGAAATGTATAGTTGGTTTCCCTTTTATACTATTAGTCTGTTAGAAGACAATGTCAACAGCTTTGTTGAGAATGCAGAGCAGCTTCCTTCTTGAGTCAAACATTCTTTCTGTATAACCAATTCATTTGCATGAGGATGACATTTGTTGCTCCAGTAATTTCATCTGATAATGGCCAGCTTGCAAAGCGGATCTGAAAACATATTCCTTAATTATGTGTTGCTAAGCAACAAGGGGGCTTGGTCATAATCACAGAAAGATTATCTTTCTACTCAAGTCACTGAAAAGGTTTAGCTGAGGTAGGACCTTCAGCTAAAATTTGTCCCATTTTAATTTTGTTCTGGTTCCCTTCCCTCCTCCAGAACAATGAAGGAAGGTATTCTTCCCTGTTCTTAAAATGCATATTTAACTAGAAGTCAAGGTAAGATCCATTGTAAAGAAAAACGTGGGAGAAATAATTGTTCTAAGGTAACCAGGAAAAAATGTAGATCTTCATGCAAAACCGTTTTCAGCCATCAGACTCAGAACAGTAATTGCACATATGAGTAACATGTAACCAGGCATTTAAAATGAGTTAGGGTACAAATTAGCCAAAACAACCGAAAGTGCACCATTCTTATTTTGTACCATGATTTCTGACAAACATAGGATGCAAACATTGATATAATAGTTTGACCTGAATTTATCAAAACTCAGGGGATTTGCACTAAATTTTGGCAATGTGGCAAGTCCATAAATGATAGGAAGCAAAGAAGAAACAAGGGTAGCAACATAATATAACAGATACATTCTCATGTACGTGATTTTCATGACACATCTCAAATCTTAAACTTTGCCCATAGTACTTGATGGACAGAACCCAATGCAAAATGTTGATAGTACTTTTTCATTTCGCCATCGTCTGAGCCATTTAGAGCCAGATAATGTGGTTGTGTCCAATGGTAAAATTGCCACAATAGTGATTTCCACCTTTAAATTGTTTTAATTGGCTTTGAACAAGACAAGTTACGTCTAAATTCTGTTCTTTGTTGTTGTTTTTTAATTAGTGGTTATGCGACCTAGTGCAACATTCACTAGTAGCTATAGGACAGACCTCACTGATTTGAATCTCATCTTTCCCATGCATTCAGTAGGTAGCTTTGAACTCACCTCTCTCTCTACCTCATGGTGCAATGCAGGGAATAATAATACATGTACTGACTTTTGTCATTGGGTTGTTGCAATGATTACAAATGGATAAATTATGTGAAATAGTACAAGTATTAATGATAATACTGAAGGTTATTTTTAATTACTGTTGTAATTTGGTTCAGATATTTGTGTGGCCAAAAATGTGTCAAATTGGTTGAGAAATAAAACGAATACAGTAATAGCTCCATATTCAGGGTCCATTTGTTTTTCATTTCATGTGTTAGCTGTGTTAACTTATTAGTTTATTTGCCAGTATGGGATTGTCCATTCAGGTTCTCCATCCACAAAATGATAATATAATGACTAAAAATCTCACAGAGGTTTGTGTAGGAAAAAGAAAAGACATGTTTCAAATGCTTTAGTCAATAATAATATTGCACGAACAGATTATTTGAAAAGGCATAATAAAATTACAGCTATGGTGCTTTGGAATATCTGTAAGAAATATATGAGTGACCAAAAACTAGTAGGACCACAAAACTGAAAAGTTGTTGAAAATGGAGAGGTCAAAATATTGTGGAATTTCTGGATTCAAATTGATAAATATCTGGCTCACAATGAACCTGATCTGAAAATTGTTGAAAAGAAGCTGGCCTCAATAGTAGATGTGATATCTCTTCATTGCAGTCAAAGAAGGGATTTGAAAAGATTGCCAAATACAAAGACTCGTAGATTGAAATTGAACAATTATGACCAAAGAAAACTCAAGTTGTTCCGTATTTTTCACTCCATGAGACGCACTCCCCCCCCCAAAATAGTGGGGGAGAAAGTATGTGCATCTTATGGAGTAAATACAGTTTTTTAAAAAAGGGTTCAGCCACCACCACCCAGAAACCTCCCACTGCCATGCTGGGAGGCCTCTGAACTGGCACCAGAGACTGCTTATTGTTTGGACCTCACCATTCTGCACTGCTGGCTTTCCAGGATCTGCTTCCTGCAGCCTACCTGGAAAACCAGCAAGGCCA